TCTATCTCCACTCTCACCAAAAATGTCCAGTCTGGATTCATCTAGCACTCTCTCTCTCTCTCATTGTCTGTCTCTTCTTACTGAGAACATACAAAAATGTGACTAAATGAGGTGAACCAGGTTGAAAGAGACGTGTTTTCATTTGTACATCATTTATCTTGCATATGTGACAATCAGTGATGGGAATAACGGCGTTCTAAATAACAGTGTTACTAACGGCGTTACTTTTTTCAGTAACGAGTAATCTAATGGATTACTCTTCCCATCTTAATAACGCCGTTACCGTTACAGCCAAACAATGTGGCGCGTTACTATAATTGAAGCTGTTTTTTTCATCAGACCAACTAGATCTCTGAGCTGAGAGGCAAAGACTTTTTTTTACTGTTCTTCCTTGGTTAGTGGGCAGTGCACGAGACAAGAGCATAAATGCTGAAATTAGTTGGGCGGGTGTTTGAAAGCATGCATAAACGGACACACAACGAACAACACAAGCGAGTCAGTCAACGAGAGACAGGTATGGCGAGTTGTGCTGCATCTTATTACATTTGCACTAAAAAGAGTGTATATATTTTTTTAATACATTTTTGGTACATTGCTTAAAGAGCATAATTTCATTTAGATTTATTTGTTGGCTGGCTGCAGCCTCTTGAAGTGAGATTGTCAATGGCCAGAGAAAGAGATTTATTTTTATGGAGATGTATTTTTTATTTCTTATGTATTACCTGTTTATATTTGGATTCCTTAGTTTTGCTATACATTGTACTTTTCAGTTAGATTGAAAGCACCTCATATTGTTACACTGTTCTACTTTTTCGAGGAAGAAAATACTTGAAGTACAGTATATCTACCAATTGTCTGAAGTTCTTTGTTTTATTTGCACTACAAAGAGTGTATATATTTGTTATTTATTTTTGGTATAGTGCTTAACAAGCATCATTTAATTTTGCCCAGTTGTGGCCTGTTGAGGGGCAATAAATATCAAAAGTTCCAGAACATCTATTGGGTTATTTGTATGGATCCACTATATAAACATAATCTACATACATGGCATTTGATTGGAGGCTAGTCTCACTTTGTCCCACAGCAACATTAAAATAGTTTAGATTTGTGTACATTGTTTCTGTTAATAATGGATTGTATTAAGTGTCCATTTCATTATAATATTCAGATTTATCATAAATAATTGAACATGCACATGTATTTTAAGTTCCGTTAAAGAGGGGTGGAGGTGGGGTCACATTTGAGCATTTAAAAATTGACTTGAAAGTAACGCAATAGTTACTTTCTAAAGTAACTAGTTACTTTTATAATTTGTAACTGAGTAACTAATTTACTTTTTGGAAGAAGTAACTAGTAACTGAAACTAATTATTTTTTAAAAGTAACTTGCCCAACACTGGTGACATACAGTGAAAGTGTGAAGTTAATATAAACCAGCGAAAACTCATAATTTCATGACAGCTGTCATTTAATTTTTTTGCTTTAAGCAAGTGTGAACCTATGTGATGTCACCATTGGTTTGTGTAGAACTGTTTTGAAGCCTTGAGTTTGGTGTTTTGGCCGCTGCCATGACAGTTAGACTAACCCAGCGCGAGCCAGTGGACGTAAAGTACTACAAGTTGACACTGGTAGCTCGCCTGGTCATACACAATCCCGTATTACAGCTAAACAGCACACTAACATATGATTCTGAAAAGAAGTGAGAAATAGTCAACACAGTAACAGAATCTGGATTCATCTTTGATCAGCACTGCCTAGTTTGACAGTTTGATCTGAGTTTGGTGCGTTGAGCTGTCACTGACCTGTCAACCAAAAGGTAGCCACCCCCTAAAGCATACCCTGCTTTATGGTCTATTTTACTCTAAATGGGACCATCATTTACTAAATGAACATCATGCTGTATGGAAGAAGACTGAAACTAGAGATTGAGACCATAAACTCATTATAAAAACTATTTATTGAGCTCGTAAATCAAGTGAGAAGTAGGTTAATTTCTTTATTAGGCTGCATGGTATTGTTATTGCAGCCAATGGAACTCCCCCTGCTGGCCTTTACACAGAATGCAGGTTTTTAATACGCTTTCTGCGTTTGCTTCACTTCAGACTTCTGGTCAGTGGTTTTATGTCAAACTCAGATTAATCCTAATTTGCTTTTCTTCTTCAGAAAAACCTGAATCTTCAAGATAAGAAACAAGAAGATAATAAGAAATAAAATAAACACTTTTGTGAGTTTATTTCAACACTGAAGTGTGAGTTTGACTTAAAACTTTAAAATTTAGTGTAGACAGTTGCATTGAAATTATGCATATTCTCAGCTGTTTTTTTTTTTTTTTTTTTTTACAGTGCATGAAATATTTTCAGTTTATGCAATTCCAATACTGTATGCAGAAATATTCGATTACACTAGGTGAAAAAAACACTTTTGTACTCCAAAGACTGCATTGGATTAGCATGAAGTGGGAATGTCTGTAAAGGTTGGCTGGTTACCTATTGAACCCATTTTTATTCAGATATCTCGAGGTCAGTGGTCAGGGGATGTCTTTGAAAATTGCCATGCCAGTTTTTCCATTTGCCTAATGGATGTGTTAGGTCATCTAGTTTCATATTATACTTGCAGCACGAAGTGAATTCTGTGGCTCTAGAGGAGATCTGTTGAGTCTGAAAATAACCTTGGAAATTTTATTGTGATGTCATAAGGGTTATGGCCTTTGAGACGAGGGGTGTTATCCATTCAGCAAAACATGGCTACTTGCTTCCCTCACTCATGTCTTACTCAAGCTCCTGGCAACAGTTGGAAAGCCTAAAAGAGCTGTATGATTGAATCATTGTATCCCATTCATGACAGGAAGTCAGCCGGCTCGGTCAGCGCAAGTCTCGGTCAGGCACACTCTAAACCTGATTGGCTGGACTCTACTGAGCATGCTCTATGAGCCCAAAAACTCAGAAAAATTGAGTGTGGTCTTTGAATGTGGTTTCCAGTTCTCCTTTAGGTCTCAGCTCTAGTGATGGCAGTGTGACACTGAAGCTTCGATACGTGCTTCAAACCCTGAACTACAATTCCATAGAACCACTGCTTCAAAGCTTGCTTGGGTGCGAAAAAAATCACGTGACATATGATGTCCGAAGCAGCAACTGCTTCATTGCCTGAATGAACCAGCTGACTGGTTCGCGGTCCAATCAGGCTATTCACTGACACTGCCTCGTCTCGATTCTGACAGGTGACAGGTTGAGACAGTTTTGAATTTGAGCGCCTTTAACACTTTATAACTGCAAATGTGAAGAAATTGTGACCAAAAAAAGAAACCGGCTCAACCCAAAAACTGTTGAAAAATTAACGTACCATAATAAAAACCTTTGAGTGTTCCCCATCCCCCTGTCTTAGTTAAACAAGCACACCCAACCTATGCCATATTTCCAAGCATTCTCTCCTCAATAACACAATACACACATTCAACAATCTTTATTTGTAAATTGAACATGATATAGATAAGATTTTTCAAAGCAAAGATACTTTAAATCCAAGGGTGATCAAAGCAAAGATGCTTCAGAACAAAATGTGGTTTCTACAGTTTATCCAGCACTGCTCATTAAGGTGTGTGTATGTGTGAGTGCGTACGTGCGTGCGCGCACAAATACGTGTATGTAATTAAAAGCCTCCTGTCCACCAACTAGCCTGCCTAATTTGACTGCAGCCTTGCACTTTGCCAAGAGAGGTCACTGTAACTGAAGCTTCGAGTAATGAACCCCTTTTTGAAACAACTGGCTCAAGTGGTTCAGTGCTTCACGAAGGCTTCATTTGCCCATCACTACTCTGCTCCTCCCGGGACATCCTCGCTCCCTCCAGCATCAGTATGAAGAGATGGCAGCTACTCATGGTGCACAGCATTCAGTCAAACACCTGCCTCCTGAAAATTGATTGGCTGGGTTTTTTTGTTGCAGTTTTGCTTTGTTTGGATAGTGACAGGAAAGGCAGGGGCAGAGAGGGGATGACATGCAGCAAGGGCCCTGGTCTGGATTCTAACACTTTCTCACAGCCATATAGTTTACTAGGGGTGTAACGGTATTTGTATTCGTCCTGAACCGTCACGGTACGGGTGTCACGGTTCGGTGCACGCAGTCATACGACGAATACGTCTGAGTGAGTTTAAAAAGAAGTCGAGTCCTCACTTTAATCCAGGTGGCGGTAATGAGCCTAAAAGCTGCCAGAAACAGTCATTACAGAAGAAGAAGAAGTAGTTACAAAAAAGGACGAAGAAGAAAAGTGATGGAAAGTGTGGAGTTGGAGGAGCCGCCAGCTTCATTTAAATCAGCTGTTTGGAGCACTTTGGCTCCCCAGTACAATATAATGGTGATGGCATGCGAGTGGTGGACCGGACAAAGACTTTCTGCCAGCAATGTTTCACGGAGGTGCGGTATGTTGCTGGGCAACACCTCAAACATGCTAACCCACACAAAACGGCATCACCCCGACATATCTGTCACTGGTGCGAGGAAAAAAACGTCTTTGGTGCAACAACTTATCCCCGCTGCTTTTAAGCCACCTCTTAACATTAACACTGACAGGGCCAGTGTTACCTGACTACCTCAGTCTATCTTTTCTTAACAGAATGAGAACCCTCCTAATACATTTGTTTTATGTTTTATTCTATTTATTTTTTGCAGTCAACTGGTGTCTGTTCAAAATAAATATAAAAAAGCTAGTCTTTTATATGTGATTTTTTTCCCCCGTAGTACCGAACCCGTACCGAACCGTGACCCCAACCTAGTTCACACTTTTTTCTTAATTCCTATTCCTCCTTTTTAATGATGACAGGTTTATAATGAAGTGACACAGGTTCATTACAGGTTGTTAGTCAGCAGTTACGGGACACTACATGTTACCTCGCTTTCTGTCTCTGGTGATTTGACTAAAGTTTACTACAGTTTTACTCAAACCTAGGTTTACATAGGCGATCTGAGTGAGGGGTTAAAATAAAATTGAAATGTTCCAAGACAACATGGATTATTTCCAGGATAATTGGTCTTTATTTATACATTTCCAGGTGTTTCCATGACTGGAAAACTAGCCTCTAAATATGCAGGTTTTCCATTGGAATCCTGTTGTTGTTGTTGAAAAATATATATCAGAGGCTGTAAGTTGAATAGATACAGGATGTACACACATTTAGCAAACATTTGAAGAATATGCTCCATCAGGGTTCCAACTGTGTTCAGGAAATATTTTTCCAGGAGTTTTTGTTAACCATACAGGACAGCTATAGGTGTTAGCTACCTTTCGTGGTGTGCTTGGCTGTTCTCACCACCGCTTTCCAAATTAAGTTTTCCTCTAACAGTAACATTAATTTGGCCACATTAAAATTTCCAGAACAACATACATTAGTTTGAGATTATTTCCAGGGTATTTTCCAGGACCCATGCGAACCCTGTCCATGTGATATCAAAAGAAATACTAAAGTATTAAAGCTAGGGTTTGACACAGAGGGCCTCTCTGAAACACGGCATCAAAATCAACAGAGAAGATAATGCAGGAGCTACATAAGGCCCTTATTACTGTCAGTTTTAGACTGCCAAACAAACTTTCAATTAAATAAACATAAAGGAGAAGGCCTCGGGCACCGGGACAGTTGCCTGCTATGTCTGTTTGATAGTCCAGCATCCGTGTAGAGACCCCACAGTGACACGGACAGAGAGCGGGGCTTCAGTCCGGCTCGGTGCTGCCGAGTGAGGCTGCAGGATGGAGCAGGGTGGAGTACTTCAGAGGGACCTCCAGACCCACCAGAGGACCCACCACACTGAGCCACGACAACACATAGTTCACTGGCCTGCCCAAACACACACACACACACACACACACACACACACACACACACACAACACACATTTAAACTTAATACAGATGTTGCATGCAAGAGATTCACCGTGTTTTTGGAGAATCCTACCTGTGCTGGTTCTGAGCCGCCTGCAGCACAGGCCTCATAAACTCCTCCGTTCTACAGGGGTGGAGCATGAAGAAAGGCTGACCAAGCAGGGGATGCTCCTGACACACACACACACACACACACACACACACACACACACACACACACACACACACACACAGAAGATCTCAGTGAAGCTTCAAGGAGGAAGATGATGATGATAAAGCTGACAGCGGTTTTACCTGCAGAGTGATTGTATTTAGAGGACTCTGCTGGAGCCGAAGCCTGAAGTTTTGATGAACGGAGCTCCACACCTCCTCTAATGACAGGCTCCGCCCCTCTGAGGAAGCAGAAAATATATCACAGAGCAAACCCTTATATACTGACATGGAAATGAATGTTACTGCAATTAACAATTACAACTTTTAATATTTGAGTCCAATAAAACTGCTCTTAAAATATACACGTTACAGTGTGATGTGTGGGTTTTTCTTCCAAACATTTCAAATGAAAAGCAACTTGTGTAGAGCTATGCCAGTTTAGCCCTACTGGTTGCCCCTCAGAACATCAGATTCCTGCAGCCACAGTGGCCTTGATGCCCCGCCTGCACTGTCCCAGCTGACTTTCTCTTTCTCCTCTTTTGTTGAGATTCAGAATTCTTACTGGGCAACATTAAGAGAAACGCTGTGCACATGAGTGAGTGTGGGTTCGATTTCGAGCCAGGTATAAACTGCTGGACAGCCTATTTATGATATATAATTATATATAATAATTTGACAAATCAACCAGGAGACTGAATCAAACTCATGATGATGAGCCAGTGCTGGAAAGTTGGAACTTCTGAGAAGAGAAGTTCAACTGAGCTGAGGTAAGAAAGTTTGCTTGATTAACAGACAAATAAGACATCGTAGGGCTGACACCTTGTGATCTTTGAGTGACTGCGTGGTCCATATGCTCATGTCCAATCAAAATCTCATTCGTCAACATTGGAATTTGACATTGTGGCACCAGGACAGAAGTCAATGAGTCAGAGGCAGGTTAGAGTACAGTGGAGAAACCACTCCTTTTTAAGGACGAAATACACACGTAAATAACGTTTGACAGGTTGTACGCTGTGAAGACACTGCACTTTTGAAAAGCACTCGGTGGGATTTGAAGTCGAGCGAATTTAAGGGGTAACAGTCAAAAGTTGAGCTGCCAGTCAGTCTGACAGTAAAACACAGTCAAACCACTCACAAAGAACATGTGAACTTAAATCATAACTTAAAAACCCTCACCATGTACATGAAGCAACAACATCTGCAAGTATTCAATACAGCATGCACGTCCACTGAGTGTCAGTGTGTGTGTGGGTGTGCATGCAGAGTGCAGCTCACCCAGTGTGACGGCTCTGAAATAGAGCACAGGAGTACCGTAGCTGCAGGAGAACAGGATGTGATATTCGTACTGAAGCACCTGGCCACTGCCTCCAGACACCGTACACACCCCATCATCATCATCATCATCATCATCGTCGTCGTCGTCTATGTCACCTCTGACGCTGTCGCCGTCCTCTGGGGCAACACAAAGCGCCTGAGGACGAAGAGACACAGTGGACAATGTGAAATAGTTCACCGTGTGCAGCAGCTGCCTGAGTGCATTCAATCTGTTAGCGTTAGCGGTGGCTGCTTCACAGTGGAGGTCTGGAATGAAATCATTTAGGAAATGAGTGTCCTTGATTGACCTTCCAAAGCCCCGCCCCTTTTTACTCTGTGCTTCAATAGCAGTCGAGCAAGCCTCAGTCAACTTCCTCCTTTCCTGTACTAAGATCTGCTATATGCTAGGCTAATCTGTGTTAGAAAGACCACCACATTTTAAAGATGGTTAAAAGAGAAAACTAATGATCGATGTTAACTAATGTTAACTGAATGTAAATGAACTAGCTAGTTCGCTAGCATTTAGCTAACATTAGCTTTAAGATGTAACTAGCTAGCTAACAACTGATGTAGATTAGCCAGCTAGTTTGCTAACATTAGCTAGCTAACTTGAAATGTAACTATATATGCTAATAATGAGCTAGCCTCTACCTAGCATCTAACCCGCACCAGCACATGTACGCACTCATGCACCCACCAAAGGAGGTTCCAACATAAAGAGTTAACAGTACTGAGAGTCTGTTCTATAGAGTCAGCTGTCACTCACTTCATTCTGGACCCACAAGCAGCTTTCTAAATAACTGACACTGCTGTTTCCTGTTGCCTGTGTCCCAGTGGAAGTTGTAGCTCTTCATTAGGTACACTGTCTGGCGTCCAGCGGAACTGAATTTCATGATCATTTGGTTCCGAATGAAGTGAGTTAGTCAGTTTTGTAGTGCAGTCTGAATCTGTCAGTACTGTTAACCAGCAGATCTTGACCTCTCCAACATGGGGAGCACACACACATAATAGAAGCATTTAAGTTTCTATATCTGTGTTTTTATCGGGGGGGGCAGTTATTTCATCCATTAGCACACCTACAGAATGCACCTTTTAACATCGTGGATGCCATGAACGCAGCATTTTCATGCGGGTATCTTCCTGGAGCTCTGAGGCTGACCTCTTTGCCATGACGCTAACCACTCATGGGCCAAAACCGCCTTGAAAACAAACTGAACTGGGATGTGTGGTGCACTGTTTATGGGTTTATACTGGGTTAGGAGCAGGACAGAGTATGATAAACGTCCCTAAGTACAATATTGTTTATTATTGTGATTGTGGTGAAAGCCAGAACATTTGAGTGTTTTACAGATACTGGACTTGGGACCCCCCGCTTGAAACCAGGACAAATCTGGACAATCTGGGATGTCTGGTCACTGTAATGTCATCTTTGAACCAACTTCAAATTGTGGTTGGTTTTTTTTAACACAGATTAGCCTAGCACATAGCATAGTGCACAGGATAACAGATCAATGTGGGTTGCTCAGTCTTTCACCTGTTCTGTCTCCTGTCCCTGCTGATCAGGCCTGGAGTGACAGGAAGTGTGTGTGTCTGACTGTGAACCGGATCCTTCTAGGTCCCACACTGGGCTCGAGTCAATGACGACCGACCTGAGAACAGTCTTCCTCAGGTAGCCGTCCTCTGAACCCTGAACCAAAATCAGACACAACGGTTAACCACATTCACAGAGCATGGCGGGCTTTCAGGGAACGTCTGCGCGACTGACAGCGGCAGCACGGACCCCCTCACCCGGACCTCCTCACCCGGACCTCCTCACCCGGACCCACTCACCTGGACCCCCTCACCCGGACCTCCTCACCCGGACCTCCTCACCTGGACCCCCTCACCCCCTCACCCGGACCTCCTCACCTGGACCTCCTCACCCGGACCCCCTCACCCCCTCACCTGGACCTGGACCCCCTCACCCCCTCACCTGGACCTGGACCTCCTCACCTGGACCCCCTCACCTGGACCTCCTCACCCGGACCCCCTCACCCCCTCACCCGGACCTCCTCACCCGGACCCCTCACCCCCTCACCCGGACCTCCTCACCCGGACCCCCTCACCCAGACCTCCTCACCCGGACCCCCTCACCCCCTCACCTGGACCCCCTCACCTCCTCACCCGGACCCCCTCACCTGGACCCCCTCACCTCCTCACCCGGACGCCCTCACCCGGACCTCCTCACCCGGACCTCCTCACCTGGACCCCCTCACCCCCTCACCCGGACCCCCTCACCTGGACCCCCTCACCCGGACCCCCTCACCCAGACCTCCTCACCCCCTCACCTGGACCCCCTCCCAGCTCCAGCCGTCCTTCAGCTGCTGCGACCACTGCAGGAGGAGCTGACAGCAGTGACAGAAGCTCTGCTCATCCAGCATCCAGCTCATCTCTGCAGGGAGCATCATAAACAGATCCAGGTACTGTTCACACAGAGAGCTGCAACCAGTTCAACTGCTTTGATCACTGATTCATCACTGGAGTTATTTTTCATGCAAAAAAGGCTTGATTGTGTAGATTGTGTAGATTGTGTATGTCATTATAATGAGAAACTATACTGACGTCAGTAAATAAGGTGAAGTAAATATTTTGACTTATTATCTCAAAATGCTGAGTCAAAATATTGAGAACGTTTCTTTATATTTTGATAAAGTTTCCCATGATAAAGACTTACAGAATCTTTTTTTCCGTCACATTGGGGGAAAAGGGCTTCCATAAACCGAAGACATCGTTGGATCCGGACCAGATCCGGACCTGATCCGGACCTATATCAGTCGAACATCTACCTCAGAACCAGGTCCACCGCCGCGGTCACTACAGCTGAATATAGGCTTCATTCCGGCTCTGCGGGGTCAGTCTGACAGAACACCGACACTGCTCAAAGACCGCAGGGAGGAACAGCAAAGGCTCTACTACTGTTTCTTTTCCGGGTCGAGATGTCACGTGACTACTACCGTAACCTCTTAAAGTGTGTATATATTATTTGTCAACCAAAACACTCATGGTAAACAATGCCCACACGTTAATAAATCTCTTTTTGTAGAATATTTTAATATTTAATTCAGATGTCGTTTGTGTCCTCTGTCGTCGTTGAACTGGTAATTATCCTGTTGTTCGTCTTTTCAACCGCCAGATGGCAGCAAATACCCTAACAGAGCTGCAGCAGCGGACGGTAGAAGTAACAGCACATCGCCACACAATGAGAATCAGCCTTACTGGCTTATCTGCAAATCTGCCAGGAGCTCTGTGGGTGTGAACACTTTGTATTACACATTTCCTGCCATTCTAAAATATTAAAACTTTCTTGATGCCTTATGTGCCCTTTTTTTTGGCCCGAGCAAGGACCCTATTGAAACTGAGGGAATAATTATTTTACTTTATTATTATTCCTCCAAATCAATCGTATTTTTGACGGCCACGACATGCTCTGAAACTCACAAAACGCTGCACAAAATTACACTACATATATGTATATAAAGTATCCACTGATCAGCCGTAATATTATGGGCACCTGCCTAATATAGTGTAGGTCCTCCTTTTGCCACCAAAACAACCCTGACCAGTCAAGGCATGGACTCAACTAGACCTCTGAAGGTATCCTGCACCAACACGTTAGCAGCAGATCCTTTAAGTCCTGTAAATTGAGTGCAGGGGCCTCCATGGATCAGACTTGTTTGTCCAGCACATCCCACAGATGCTCCATTGGATTGAGATCTGGATTACCCTGCTGAAAGAGGCCACTGCCATCAGAGAATACCATTTCCATAAGTGTACATGGTCTGCAACAATGCTTATGTAGGTAATACATGTCAAAGTAACATCCACATGAATGGCAGAACCCAAGGTTTCCCAGCAGAACATCACCAAAAGCATCACACTGCCTCTGTGGGTTGCCTTCTTCCCATAGTGCATCCTGGTGCCAGGTAAGCAACGCACACGCACCCGGCCATCCACGAGATGTAAAAGAAAACGCGATTCATCAGAACAGGCCACCTTCTACCTCTTGTTGCCAGTTCATTGCTTGATAGGTACTGACCTCTGCAGACCGGGAACACCCCACAAGAGCTGCAGGTTTGGAGATGCTCTGACCCAGTCGTCTAGCCATCACAATGTGGCCCTTGTCAAAGTCGCTCAAATCCTCACACTGCCCATTTTTCCTGCTTCTAACATCAACATTGAGGACAAAATGTTCACTTGCTGCCTGATATATCCCACCCACTGACAGGAGCCATGATAACCAGATACTCAGTGTTATTCACTTCACCCGTCAGTGCTCATGATGGTATGGCTGATTGGTGGAATTTCCAAGTTCAGAACCCAGAACGTTATTGATGGAGGCTTATATCTCTGCATAAGTAAGTAAATTGTCTAACAGAACAATGTGTGGGGTACAAGAAAACACTGAATTTGTCAAAAAAAAAAAAAAAAAGCTTATAAAGTCTGTATGATTATTAAAAATGATTTATAAAGGGGTTTAGTGTTCATCAGTCATGGCCACTGTGTAGATTAGAACCTGTTCTTTTGTTTTGGCGTACAGTGCTCTGTAGCGCCTACCAGATGGGAGAAGTTGGAACAGGTTGTGTCCAGGGTGTGATGGATCTGCTGTTCCTGACCCGTGTCCTGCCTCTGGATGGAGGGCAGGTTGGAACTGATGATTTTATCTGCAGCTGTTGTAGTACAAACATTTTAGTGTGTTTGTGGCACCCACAAGAATATTTGTTTAACAGACGCTCATTTTCAAATGATTTTGTATGGGATAAAGGTATTTTAAGGTGTGCCTCATGAGATCTTGCCATTCTGTGAACACCACAACAAAATCACCTCACAGCCCAGAACTGTTCCCGGGGGTTTGCTTTAGTTCCCATTTCACTTGCTCAATCAGGTTGCCATTACTTCCTCCCAGAAACTGAGGCTGAATCCAAATGTGTAACATTTAAGAGGATCTGCTGCAAGAAATGGAAAATAATATTCATAGGTATGTTTTTATAAGTGTATAATCACCTGAAAATAAGAACTCTCTACAGATGCTGCGGGTCGCCTTCCATGGAGTCCGCCATGTTTCTACAGCAGCCCAGAACGGACAAATCAAACACTGGCTCTAGATGTAGACTTTTTTTGGAGTTCAGTTAGTTACAACCAGGAACTTCACTTCTATAGATACCATTAAATCCTACACACAGGTCCTTTAGAAGAAGCAACGTATAGTCACATCTTAAGTTAGCTAATGTTAGCAAAACGTGAGCTAACTAGCTAGCTAATCTACATCAATCGTTACCTAGCAGTTAACTGGCATTTTGCTAACATAGCGTTAAGTTATGTATTCTCATCAAGCACATTATTCACATTAGATTTAAGTTATATCATCCCATGTGTTTGATATACTCCCATATTGTAAGATTTACGACCAGCCTGTTTTGTTCTGAACCTGTATTATAAGACGTACGCCCTGCTGTACGTTCGGTGGCAGTGTGGGAGCGGTGCACTGTGTGACTTTTCATGAAGCCATGGCTACTGATGTTTTTTCCCGGTGCTGTGAAGAAGAGAGTAAAATAAAAGCAACATGTGAGACAGTTTCCTCCGTGTAATCCTTCCTCATCGTGGCTGACGAAGCTGAAAGCGCAACACATTGGCTATCAGCTGTAACTAACTTAGCTAGCTAACGATGTAATGTAGATTAGCTAGCTAGTATGTGTCACTAGCTGAACATCCAGCTAAATCGCTAGGTAACGATTGATGTAGATTAGCTGTCACTTTTATCTCTTAACAGTCTTCATCATTTGGTCCTCTTTTCAAGACCAGTTTAGCGTACAGCATATCTGAGTACAGGAAAGCAGAAAGTCAACCGGGGCTCTGTCCGAGGTTTGTTCAACTGTTATTGGAACAAAAAACTAAAAGGGGCGGGACTTAGGAAGCGAATCAGTAGTACATACTAAAGGTATGCAATTTGAACTACTTACTTTAAGGGATTAATGCTTGAAAAAACATTAGTGGCAAAAAGAAGCCATTTATTGAAATAATCAAAAGAAACTAAACATGAACATATTTTTCATCAAGCAAAATGTAACAGTTTCCACGTCGAAAAACAGTCAACACTAAGTCTCTGAAACAATCCTGCCCAGTTCGATCAGGCAGTTCTGTACTGCAGACAAAGAACGAAACAGCAGTTTTTTGTTTAGGATCTTTTGTAACACATAAACTTTCAGACAGAGAGAAACTGAAATCCAACCCATTGCTCTTTTAAATCAAATATATACATTTTTTTCCTTTAACAGCATTTACACATAGAAGAAAAAAATAAAACAAAGCAAGTACCACATAAGAACTCTATCTGTCAATCCAAAGATTAAAAAACAAAGAAATAAAAAACGCACCATGTAGACAGAAGTTAAACTAAAGCATGATGATGCTGCCAGAACAGAACAACATTGTCTTTGTTAACACTGACATTACGAAGCAGCGGGGTTTCCTGGGTTCCGAAGGGGAAGTCACTGGGAAGACACATGAGGATGACAGATCAGGGTACTGGACAGGAACATGCTAGCACAGCCCTGAGATCAGAGCAAGGACATAGGGGAAGGGGGTTTCTCCCAACTGGGTTCACTTCACTTCCACTCTTTTAAGAAGGTTTGCATCAAAAATGAAACATCAATTAGTTAGATCTTCTCTCATTAAAGCTAGCCAGCTTGTTCATGAGCATTGGCGGTAGTTTTGTGATCACTGTGCATTCGAGGCATATTGAAATTTACTTTTGCTATTCTACGAAATTCCTTTTGTGTTTCCATGGACAGTGTTTGCTTGTTAAACAAACCTACACACCACTTCCAGGATGATGATTTATACAATGATTTGGCTAACGTAGACTGAAACATATTAGCTTCAGTAAAAGGATGCAACTTGACACAGATTGAGGACTGTGGGTTTTGTCCCCCTGTTGGAGTCACAGTAGTGAGGGATAACTTCAGGGCCAACATGTGCAGGATGAATGATTACAGTGGTCAACAAAAGTTTCAGTATAAAATCACTTGAAGACGTAATGAACTGCACAAATGTAGGCTTTTTCCAAAACAGGAACAACCTGTAACTAATTTCCACCAACAGGGAACTTGCTCGGTTCTGACTCAAGCACCTAGTTTTGAACTGTTCTGAGCATTTTGAACAAAAATAAATTGGTTCGGAAACTTTGTTTTCCAGTTGGAACCAAAAAATAGCAGGTTATCCTTGGGAACCAAAATGGGCGTGTCATATTCTACAGGTTGTTGTGCAGCGCCCTCTTTTGATTATACATGCGATTACTATGGTTACGCTAAAAATAGATGGAAACGGGCTGGTTCGCTAGATGGCAGCACGGTTCCAAGAATCTTGAACGGAACTGGTTCAATGCTAATTTGGTGGAAAAGGGGCCTAAGTATAGCCATTAGCTGTGGTTCAATGTATTTTGATGCACATTTTAAAGTATTGTATTAGAAAAGGTCAATGGACTCAAAATGGTTTTTGCCTTTTTGAAAAAAAGTTAATGCACCTAATGGAAGATGGAAACACTGTTTTTCAATACTTCTCAAACTGAGGTGGTTTGAACAACCAGATTTCAATGTCTTCAATGTTCCTTGGTTGCACTTCTCTTCAATTTTGAAACTGTGTAAACAGGGTGTTACATAACAGCAAACCTATATCTACAGACATTTTCACTAAAATGTGGCTCAAGCTGTTCTCCCCTACACAATGTCACCATATGCATTCCAAACAATATGGCTACATTACAGAGACTATAGTTGCCTCAGATGTTGATGCTTCCCCAGGGTTTCTGCAGGTTTCAACAGGGTGAATTTAAAGACTTTTAAAAAACATTATGGATGCAATTTAGGACTTATTTTATGTCCATATAGGCAAAGTAAAAGTAAGTTGTAGTTATTACAGCATGATCAATACAAAATTGTTACCCTCCCCCAAAATAAACATTTAAAAGCGAGACTGAAAAATGCAACTTCATATAAGTAACATTAACTTCATTAATCCAATAAATGTTTAAGACCTGTCAAAATCATATTTATATTTTATGGCCTAAAATTCCGGTTGTTGGATTTTAGACTTTTAAAGACCCTGCAGACCCTGTTCCATACCGCTAATATCAGCAAAGTTGTATTGTGCAGGCAAGTGAAGTAAGCCCAGCAGGGTTGTTGCTGTTGTTGGACACACTGAAGCAGACCTGCAGCACAGATTTAAGGTGAGGTGAAGGGAGGTGGAGGGGCAGAAGGACACACTGACTGTTGGTAGACACTGACCGAGGCGCTGCATTCACACCGATATGGCTTCAGGCCTTGAGACATGTCAGCGACGCACAGACAGATGACAAGGATAAGGGTGGAGGTGAACTACCTTCATTATCTGGGAGCACACAAGGGTAAAGAAACATGTTTCTTCCTGCGGCTGGCTTTGACGGCAGACAGAGGCAGAGAGCAAGAAAGCAGAAGTGAGGGCATCGACAACGTGTTCAACATGAACGCAGCCTGCATCGTCTGCGTGTGGCTGTAGGATGCGATCTACAGCAGAAGCAACTATAAACACCCTAAATCTTAAATGGCATTTGGCGAGAACACTGACGCATTACATGACCACAATCTCCTCTCATCCTTCCTGTGTACAATGTAGTGGTGAACTGACAGCTTCATTAGTATTGCTTTTATTGTATGTTTATAGTGCCTGGTGGTCTACATAACCACAGATTTTCACTAACATTGTTTTCCGAAAAGGAGAGTTATGATGTCTTGATGCTGGGAAATGCATGAGGCGCTGTTCATTTTATCTCATCCCACTCATGAATTGTACTTTTCTTTTGAATTGTCCTGTACATTTGCATGTGGATGTGGATTTCACTAATTGAACATGTGATGACATACCTGTGTAAAGGTTTGATTGTTTAGCTCACTTTCACACCTGGTTCATTTGGTTTGCACAAATGGAAAACAATGCATAGTTGTCATTCAGTTTTGGTCCGGTTAAAATCTACTCTGCAATTTCAAAATAGCTGTTTCAAATAGCAGCTGTTAAATCTAAATTAAAGTAATTAATAGTGGGACGTAACAAGATTGATAGCTGGCTTCCAGTTTCCCAGTGGAATGCAAACTGAACAGCATGATGGCTCTTCCCATATGATAATGTGACTCAAATCTCAAATCGCTTATGGTAGATAGACCTGGCATATGGATCATATACAACTGAATAGTAGTTTATCTTATGATTTCATGCTAAAACCACATACGTATTAATTGATCTATTCATGTTTGCACCACAAACAGTTTCAATTCAATTTAATTACATTTTTTTAATTTGTATAGCGCCAATTCCTAACAGAAGTTATCTCAGGACACTTTTCAAAGAGAGCAGGTCTAGACCGAACTCCTTTTTGTCTGTGGTTGGAAGTTGACCAAGACCCCTTAAGCAGTCTTTGGTCTGCAGTTGGTCCTAGTTTGAATGACGTTCAGCCTAAACAAGACCAAATTAAACAGGCAAATGCACCAGAGTTAATCTAGATTCAACCAGAAAAGTCAGGTGTAAAGGCACCCATAGACAGCACCAGTAGTGATACATTAAGTCTTACATTCAACCATTTGACCCAAATTACAAGTAGTCATGATTTGTTGTCGAGCAGCCTCTGAATAACCCATCACAGGACAATACAACTCTCTGGTGAAATGTTTTGTTGGGTGACATGAACAAGTAGTTGATTTGTTAATGATATGACAGTGAAGCCTTAATGCTGCATGGATAAGTATGCTTGAGAGATAATATTTTATATTGTGTGTGTGTGTGTGTGTGTGTGTGTGTGTGTGTGTGTGTGTCAAATCACTGTACCAATGTCTTCTGTTTCCTTCATCAATCTTCACACATTCCGAGGCCTTCATTTAGCAGTTACAATATCTAGCTTGAAAACAGCTAAAGCTCAGTGAAAGCTAGCTTAGTTTCATGAGTTTGCCAACATTTTGCAGTGTCATAGTTTACACCTTGATGCATTAATAACTTCATCTTTGTGACCCATTAAGTTAGCGGTGAACTGATTATTCCTATAACAAATGTCAAGTAACTTCACTGAGCTGACTTACAGCCGCACAGTGTACCAGCATCACTGACTTTCCATGTGATTTTTTGACAGATAGAGTTCAGTATCTGTTTTGCAAAGATGTCAGGACCTGTTGTTTAAACTAAGACATCAACACTGTGACATAGGCCTTTCTCAATGTGTGCAGTTTGACTTGTCATTGCAAGAAAAGCACAGGCGGAACTGGTAAACATGAGCCAGCATGAACACTGCCAAAAGCCTGGAGCTAACACATCGAAATACTGAAAGACTGATAATCAGACTGAATTACCATAACTTTCAAAAACCAACGAACCGCTGCCAAAGAGTCAATCTCTGACGACCTAAATATTATAATATATATCTGTAATTGATCTGATTTCTTACTACATGGCCCTGCGACCTACCAGCACCTGACTGTTGTTGGCAGTGAATGGGGAGTTTTGTTTACAAAAAATATTTACTTCTTAACAAAATGTAAAGCGATTCCAGCATGTTTTAGTGCAGTTTTTTTGGGGTGATTATTGGGATAATATACGCAATTATTTTGGCCAGGATTTATTGTGACGTGAAATTTTCATATCATGCCTACCCACTGCTTTGATTAGTCAGCTGTATCCTACTGAGGAAACACCTGTGAACCAGCACAAACCCAGAGATGTGGGTGATGATTCACATTTCTGAAACCAGGCTACCAGTCCTAAATGGAATGTTGGTCAAACCTGTGTTTGACAAGCCAAAATGTTCTCTGTGAGAAAGGCCTATAACCCTTTGTAGTGAGGTGGTCACTTTATGGGTCCTTGGACAGTCGTAGTGCATTTCGCTCTTGTTGCTCAAGCAAATTGACAGACTTTGTCTGCCAGAGTTATACAGTGTCCATAGAGAAACCTTTAATCAACTTATTTGTTTTCATACAGGTCCCATGGTTGCTTGTCTCTCCAGACTAAACATTTTGTTCATATGATAGGAAGTTTTATTCCTTTATGTTCTTAGTGTTCGTGTTGTTCTAAGCCTGGGAGGATTAGAGTCCTTTTCCTCATCACGTCTTTAATTTCTAAACAAAATTGTGTCTTCTTACCTAGTTTATGTCAGACCTGTCAGACTTTTGCTTCCATCCATTCATTCATCCATCTATACATTTTGACAATATTTCAGTTCAGCCCAAGATCATGGCCTCTAAACCTGTGAGGAATTCTGGTCCTTGTATCACTTCTGAAACATGGTGCGGTTTGTCTATAGTTTACAGTACATCTAATCCACTGTAGTGCTTGTCCTAAACATGTGAGACTTTTTGTGTTTCTCTCGCCTGTTTGATGCTGTACAGCCACTTAATGACTCTTGCATTTCGCTCCACAGCTGAGATGCCATATGGCACACGCTCTCCAGCCTCCTCTTCCTCGTCCTCGTCCCCGTCTGACAGTGCATCGTTGGAAGATCGCCGCGACCGGTCGCAGTCGGAAGAGATCATAGAGGCTGATCTGAAGTTCAGGCTGACGATATCAGAGTTGGCCCGTGCAAAGTTCTCTGGACCTACTGCCTCCAGCTCTTCGGGGTCAAGGCCGCAGTAGTTAAAAAAGCGTTCCACGTCAGCTCCAGCCCGGGCGTACCGGTCTGACAGGTCTGATTTAGATCTGTGTAGCGAGGAGCGACGAACAACAGACGAACCAAGCTCAAGCTCCAGGTTGGGATCGGTTGAAGTATTGGAAGGGTCTCCCAGATCACAAGGTAATGACAGAGGGGTGGTGTTGTCACAGGGCGAGGGGGATGGAGTTGGACGTGGGGGGGGCAGTGACAAGGAAAGTGCGGGAGGAGGGAGGGAGGCAGGGTTGGGTTTTGGGGGGAGGGGTGGAGCTGAGGAGCTGCTGGATCGGGCTGTGCGGAGTGGCTTGCCATTGCACAGTCGCAGGAGGTCAGACGAGGAGTGGGACGTGAGCAGAGGCGGTAGTGGGGAGCGAGATCGATCGATAACTCCTCCTTCACCTGCTCTCTCGTCCAGGACTCGTCTACTAAGGTTTAGATTTCCTCCCTGTAGCGGACTGCGACGTCCCCCACTGTTGATCGGAGGGACCTTCAGGGAATGGGAAAAGGATCGGAGGGAGTGCGAGGTGCTCGGACTGGGAGCTGAGTCAGCTGGTTGCTCATTAAGAGTCATTGTAGACCGGTAGGTTAACGGCATCCTAGTAGCAGAAAACACAAAGATAAATACATACAATGTAAAACAATAGGGTAGGAAGACAAAATCAAGAGTGGGCTCATTCAGTGTGTGTTCTGAGTGTTTGGCCATGCCTCTGTCACAAATACAAAAAATAGGGTTTAAATACATGAAAATGACCTGGGAATGAGGCCAACTTTCTTGGCTCTGATTGGTTGTTTTTGTCCAGGCCAGTCTTGCAATTGCCCTTAAGAGCACTGGGAGGAGACAGAGGAACCTGATGTCTTCACAGATGAGCTGTCTCATGTACTACTGTCAGGATATAGTGAAAGTTGTAGCATATAGCCTACTGTATGACAAAAAGTTATTTTCATAAAAGTTACCTACTACAGCTTCAAGCTAGTTATCCTCAGCAACTAGTGCACCTCTCATGAATTAATAGCTAGTATTGTAGCATTCATAGTTTACGAATGCTACAACACTAGCTATTAATTCATTATTTGGAGAAGAGGTGGTAACTTTTGCCAATCACATAGAGCTTTTATATTTTCCACACATATTAGCATGACAATCTGATATTTAATGAGAAAATAATGGCTTCTTTTATGGAGTAATGTTATGGTGTATCCCTTAAACCCTGTGTCAGGAGGATTTATGAAATTCACTCAATGTGATCCATTTGCAGTAAATCAGTTTGTACACAAAAACAGCTCATAATAAGTGCTTAAATGTTAAAGCAGTAGTTTACACAAGACATAAACATAGCATATTAGTTTACCCTGATGGCGTCCAACTCCTAGCCATTCCCCCTGATGACCTCATCAGCACAGCACTCTTAGCTCCACCTCCTAGACCTTCAGATCCTGCTCCCGAAGAGGACGAGGAGTTTAGCAGATTTTTTAGAATCTCCAAGTTTAAATTGTCCCGTTTGCTGCCGCCGCTGCTCATCGCACATGTGTCTGCCTTGGCGTTGTTATTGGATGCTTTGAAAGGTAACCCGCCTCCATTTCCTCCTCCTCCACCAGTCCCAGGGCCTCTCTTGGACAGGAGAGTGTGACCGACGGGAGGCTTGGCCAGCACAGGTGGTTTGATTGGCTCTTGTTTGGCATTGATAACTTCCTGACTCTTGACATACTTGGCCTTGTCAGCTTCTAGTCTCTCGACAGCACTGAGGCGCTTAGGGTTAGGTTCCACCTGGGACACAGATTAAAAATAAAATGAGTTAATGAATACAACACTCCATTCCACAGGTTTTCTATTCTATCTGCTCATTCCTGCATACCCAGGGTTGGAACAAACCAAAAATAAGGAAAGATGCAGGGCACACCCAGAACAGGCTGCAAACCCTTTTGGGGCTATAAACTGTCGACAAGGCCACCATTGACATTCAGACTGATAACTAAACCTGCAAGTCAGGTAAGTCAGGTAGATGTCAACGGAGGATGGGGGCTATCCCCTGCTTTCATTTGCATCCTTATATTTCCAATTCTTATGTCTCACACTTGTCTTTTGGCACAACCTTATGATTGCATTTTAACAAATCTGAATCCTTACTGCAAAATGAAAGTACTGACAATGCCATGGGGGGGATTTGATTCTATGGTGTGTAAGATAACGATGTCTGTAGCCTTTGGTTCACTTTTGTGCAGAAAAGTAAATGTTAAGTAAATTGTCTAATTGACCAGTGTTGTTGTTAAAGGGGAACTTGGCAACTATTTCAATTTAATAAACCTGTTTAGAAATCATTTGGATGGTTAAATGGCCTGTTCCAGTGAAAATGGTGACTTTCCCCGCTCCCCCTAGCGTCCCCAGGCGTTAAGTTGGCAATAGGAAGTATCGTGAGAAGCGAGAACGAGCGAGAAACACAAACTGCTTTACGGCAATTCCACATAAACGCACACGCCCCCCTCAATACCGGTTAGCCACGCCGGCTATAAGAACAAGCGACGATGAATGTATTACCCACCTCGGTAGACATTGCTCCACCCAAAAAAGTTGGCCAGCAACAAATGCACATCAGCAGCGGTAGAAAGGGGGAGGAGGGTGCCGCAAGTGAGTTTTTTTACGACAGTGTTTTGAAATATACGTCCCAGAGCTGTAGGGGGAGCTCGTTGAGAAAACATGCAACGACAAAAGTGAAAACCAGCGAAGAGTTGCCAAGTTCCCCTTTAAGTCTGTACGATTGTTAAAAAATGATGAAAAAAAAATGCACATTACAATTGTGTAAAAAGTTCCCTAAACAGGAAGTAATCTGCTCAAAATTCATCCAAATCACCTATTTTACACAAACTTCACTACTAAAGTTCATTATTTTGGTTCATGATATAGTTTAATAAATAATAATTATTATATAATAATCATAATAATAATGAAATATCCATAGAAAATGTCACCTATAAATGATAGAAAAGCAGTCCCTTAAGTTCATACAGGTTGGGAACCACTGGTCTAGGACAATAAAAATAAAATATGCACAAGCAACAGTGGTGTATGAATGTCTTTACTTTAAGAAATGATGTGTTACACTTACAGACTCATGCATTTAAATGTAGTCTTTTTGCACCATCTAGTGGTTATTAGAATACAGCATTCTATGTGGAAAATTGGTCTTTGGCCTTGAATAAAATATGCTGTTATAGTATGTATGTACATGTTGATGTAAATCAGTGTCAGAGAGGTGTTCGTTGTTGTTGACTGTGCTGAATGGTGTTGGTTCAAGATAAATATGCAAATGCAGAAATGCAAATTAATATCATGTTTGAATTGATGTTTCACTCAGCTGCAGGAGAGAGAGGTGTGGGGAAGGCTTGGGAGAGGAGTGCCATGTGAGTTGACGATCACAGCTGCTACTGATTGAGTAATCACTCTTCCCTTATATTGCAGTAATGTGCTGGAGACAACTGAGAGCAGGAGCAAGAGCCGTATGAAGTTGTTGTGTGTTGTCTGTTGTGACAGCGATGCGTTAAATAAAAGTTGTGTGGTACAACAACCCAGTGTGTGAGATTGTGTGCTGCAAGAACCCACAGTAGCATAGAGACTTGCTACACTGTCATTTTGTGGCTAATTGTCAGCACCAATTATTTTAGCCTTAAATCTGTTGGAGGAAATGTTATTTGAAAGCAGTTTTCTGAAGTTTGATTAAAATGCACATTCTTGCTCTTGATTATAACTGGATTAAAATGATCAGTTTTAGTTGACTAGAAAATTGTCAAACAATAAAAAGGGTGAGGTTGGCTAAGTATGGCTAAAACTAACATGGACTTTTGATCTCAAGACTAAGACTAACCCTCAAAATAGTAGAGAGAATGAGCACTAGATAGCACATTGTCTCCTTTAATTACAAGTATGGATACTGGTGATTTTGGCCCTGGTATTACTGGTGTCGGATTGAAACTATATTTGGTGATGTTGGCAGAAGTTGGAAATAAAGTACAAATATAAATAATAAAGTTGTTTTTCCAGGTATCTGTATTTTATTTTAGTATCTATGTTCATGAGAATGTTTAACTTTTACCCCCTACATTTTTACACAAATATCTGTACTTTCTACTTTTTTTGCCTCATTGTATGCCTTCCCAACATCAAGAAAGGTGTATATCACGCACGAAACAGACAAGAGATGGAGACATAACTAAATTTGTAGTTCCAGTTAGGTTTCCACAGAAAGTCAGTACAAATGTCCTTCAGAGAAACCAAGAGAGGACTTTTTACTTTGTACTGAGAGCATTTCAGAGCTTGTACTTTTACACTTTTACTTGATTAAAGAAGTTGAATCCGTACTTTTTTTACACAAGTATCTGTACTTCTCCATGAAAGACAAATTGAAACATTTAAAGTATCCAGATTTGGGTAGTACATAGCAGTATAAACATTGTAAGACTGACAGCGCAGGGTGATGTAACAGTACCTGTCTCCTGAAGTACTCGGGGCCCTTATTGAGGATACGGAGGGGTACGGTAGAACTGTAGGGCGTCGGGGGGCCAGCGGCCTTGCTATCTGGCAGGGCTGGAGCCAGTGTCTCTGTCGGCATGGCAACGAGGCGACTGGGGTGGCCGGCCGTGGTGGCAGCGGGTGCGGGGGGGTTGACAGAGGGCGGGGGCACCAGAGGACCCCCAAAACATGAAGACACAAGGTGGAGAAGAGAAAGTCTAGAAAGAGATAAACCCCCTGGCCCTCCTCATTGCCTGTGGGAGCCTTTGGGACTGAGCCAGACACTGGGTGGCGGTGGGGATGGGGAGGCGTGAGGTGAGGTAATATATTTAAATAGACTACTGCATTGCTTGAGTAGGATGATCTCTGTTAGCAGCTCTACAATCTAAGCAACTGATTTCACTGGTCTTTACTGAGAGGGTCTACTGGTTTGTGGTGCTTGACCTATTCATCAAGCAAGATAGACAGATAGATGTAAGGAAAGAGAGGGATCAAGTGCAGTGACAGAGTGAAAAGGGTTCAGTGCGGTGGTGTGGATGAGTGCTTCCACAGGGCCGAAGGAAAAGCAAAGGATGGTAGGAAAGGAAAGCCACGCCGCCTCTCCACCCTCATTTCAGCTCTCCCCTCAGCTTGCTGCACTATCTGAAATACGCAAAAAAAAAGAGACAGAGAAAGAAACAGCCAATGGGATTAGAGTTAGTCTGTGACATCATGCACCTAGCAACAATAGCAAGAATAGCTAGGACACATAAATACGCCCTGTCCGTACATGGCATTAATGTGCACCTTGGGTGGTCTGATCACAAGTGGACAGCACGTCAGTTTACACCAAAATGCGTCTCCACACGTGTCTCCAGTGACCACTTGTGATTGGATCTCACTTCCCTAGACACAATGTTTTTTACACACTGAATTCCCAATGAGGCCCAAATAATTAGGAATTAAGCATTTCACAAAGTTTCTCCTAACTCAACAGACCAGGCAGTCTGGTGATTTCTCCACTGGCAACAAAGATGTAGCTTATAATGCTAATCATGTTACTCTTTTTAAATGGCAGGGGACGCTATCTGCTTTTGATTTAGCTTGTTCTGTATCCTACGTCACTCTTTCAGTAGCTGTATCAAGGTGCAAAGACATCAGTTTCACTTTAACAAAGAAAAGGAAATATGCACTGTTACATTGGAAATAAAAATGCTTCTATTTTGATAAAGAAAATATATTTTATTTATATTACACCTGATGGCCCTCCCTCTCTCTATCTTCCTTCACACTGACGGGTTGACTGGCTCTGTAGGAGGCTCCTTACCACTGAGCTTTTAAGTGCTGGTTAGCGTCAAGTTAAAATATGCTATGCTCCTGTTAGCCCTGACATGAACACAGGTGTTTACCATCCTGTGTTCTCTAGTGAACTTGTTAGTGTCGGAGCAGTGCAGTTGGTCAGTGTCATCCAGTCACAGATGAGGGGCTCTAGGGGGCCTTTGAACATCACTTGTTCCCAAAGCGTCCTACAGAGTTGGGGTACAGAGTACATATTAAAGCTGCAGTAGGTCATTTGTCTTTGTAATGAGACTTTTTTGTCTCATGTTCTACTGGATATAGTGAAAGTTTCAGCAAATATGACAAAAATATATTTTTATAAAAGTTACCTACTGCTGCTTTAAAGATGCCCTATATGACTTCTTACACTCCCCAGGTGAAGCTTTGCAGACCCCTGGGAGTCAGGACCCAGTGTCTTAACACGCACCTCAATGTTAGATGACCATGGCTGATGGTGAATATGTGTCACAACTATAAAGCATTAATTGTCTCCCCTTCTGACTCTTCCATTTCACATCATGTCAGCAAGAACAGATTTGTCCTTTGAGAGTTTGAACAGTATTAATAAATACTGTGCACTATATTATTCTAGCAATGTTATCAAACCATATTAGATGGATATTAAATGTGTATTTTAATAAAGGCACACAGGAGTTCCCTAACTACACACACACACACACACACACACACACACACACACAACTGGATTACATATAGTCTTTCCTAATCTGGGAATATGAAGCCGCTGATATTGGATTGAAAAATCTGTATGGAATATTAAATATGGATATGAAAAGGGCTGGTGGTCTGCTGTATTTCCTGTTTTATTAAAACTGTGCTTTTCTGTGTGTGTGTGTGTGTGCCATCCAAAACCAACCCATGCAGAGGTGGTTTTCACCCCCCACCACACACACACACACACACACACACACACACACACACACACACACACACACACACACACACAAAGTATTTCATTACTGCTAATCTGTGCTGTATGTATTATTGAAGGGATCAAAAGAAACGCATACAGGCTTACAGGTTTTGGTAGGTACATTTGGCAAGTACATGAGAAGTTGATTAACCTTGACCCTAAAATGACCCTACACTGTAAAACAAAATCTTTAAATTACCTGTTTATTCTAAAGATTTTTCCTGTATTTTTTTTTTTACATAGATGGAAATATTAATACAATTACATAAATAGCCTGTGAATTTACATGTCCAATATAAAATAATGTGAAAAATATTTAACGGTAAATAATCATAAATTTCTGCATTTTGAAAAATAATTCCTTTGTTTCACATAAACAGACACTACAGACATTACTGTGTATTTAACAGATTAATGGCTCCCCAGCTGCCAGAATATACTTTTTTTCACTTTTTCTGTATAAGGATACCTACAGTGTAACGGCAACTGACCAAGCAGTATTTATATAGTAACAGTATTTGACGAGTTGGGAGTGATAACGTGTAGCATCTGAGCATCTGAGAACTTTTTAAGGTTGTGTGAGAATAATGTAGTGATTACTCTGTGGTTCCAGTTTTGAACAGGGACATATGTTTCTAGTTTACCACGAACACACAACAGCCAGACACACACACAAAAGGACTGATTTTGTTTGGATTAGGAACATGTGTCCTGCTCATTTCCTGTGGAACGCCATATCAGACAGAGTAAAGAGAGAAAAGGTGGATAAACAGCAAATCTCGTCTACTTTAAATATCCTACAGACATTTTTAAGTCTCCTCTTTCTTTGTAGCTGTAACCTGTACCTTCACATACTGAACTGACCCCATTGTGAACAGCCCATGCTCTGCAAGACGAGAAAAACACCGCCGTCTATGTTCCTCTTGCTTTCAAAAATCAAAGCTAAAAATCTCTCCCTCTCCCTCTCTCTCCCCACATGATAGTCATGAGAGTGTGGGTTCCAGTCCTAGATGCCTGCAGGCCTATTCTTTCCCAGAGAACACTTGGCTGTTGTTCATTTCTGGCTGTATGAATTGTAACGTCTTATTATTCTGTTTACCAGAAATCAGATGTGGACTGCAGGATAGATCAGACGGGCACCCAAAGTTGAGTGTCTTTAGACTGCATGTTTTAATCCTTAAAGCCTTGGTGTGTTTATGTTATTACTTTCAGGAAAACAAGACAATCCAGGTGAAAGCTATGACAGTCTATATGTTGGTTTTTGTTCATTCATCTATACCCCCTTTCCACTAATGCAAACATACTGCTAATTCTGGGCTGGTGCTAGTGCTAGTTCACCTTCTTAGAACCAGTTTGCTACTCCACAGGCTAGAGAGCCACGTCATCACATCATTGTATACATCTCCAATGTTACCAAGGTTACGTTAGGTGACTAGCTAGCTAGCTACTGGTCAACATGCTAACATGCTAATTTCTCACATACAGTGCATACGGAAAGTACTCACAGCGCTTCACTTTTTCCACATTTCATTATGTTACACCCTTATTCCAAAATGGATTCAATTCATTTTTTTCCTCAAAGGTCTATACACAATACACCATAATGACAACATGAAAAAGGTTTTTTAAAATGTTCGCAAATTTATTAGAAATAAAGAACGAAAACATAATATGTACATAAGTATTCACAGCCTTTGCTCAATACTTTGTTGTGGCACCTTTGGCAGCAATTACAGCCTCAAGTCTTTTGGAATATGAAGCCACAAGCTTGGGACACCTATCTTTGGCTAGTTTCACCCATTCCTCTTTACAGAACCTCTCGAGCTCCATCAGGTTGGATGGGGAGCGGCGGTGCACAGCCATTTTCAGATCCCTCCAGAGATGTTCAATGGGATGCAAGGCTGGGCCACTCTAGGACATTCACAGAGTTGCTGTGCACCTGTCTGTCTGTCTGTCTGTCTGTCTGTCTCTCTGTCTCTCTCTCTCTCTCTCCCCAACTGGTCGAGACAGACGACCACCCACCTAGAGCCGGAGGATCTGTCCTAGGTTTCTGCCTTTTAACAGGCAGTTTTTCCTTGCCCTTGTCGCCAAGTGCTTGCTCATGGTGGTACTGTTGGGTCTCTGTAATTAATGTTTTATAGAGTTCGGTCTAGACCTGCTCTATTTGAAAAGTGTCCTGAGATAACTTCTGTTATGAATTGGCGCTATACAAATAAAATTGAATTGAACTGAATTGAATTGTCCTGAAGCCACTCCTTCGATATCTTGGCTGTGTGCTTAGGGTCGTTGTCCTGTTGGAAGATGAACCGTCACGCCAGTCTGAGGTCAAGAGCTCTCTGGAGCAGGTTTTCTTCCAGGATGTCTCTGTACATTGCTGCATTCATCTTTCCCTCAATCATGACGTGTCTCCCAGTTGCTGCCGCTGAAAAACATCCCCACAGCATGATGCTGCCACCACCATGCTTCCCTGTAGGGATGGTATTGGCCAGGTGATGAGCAGTGCCTGGTGTCCTCCAAACATAACGCTTGGCATTCACGCCAAAGAGTTCGATCTTTGTCTCATCAGACCAGAGAATTTTGTTTCTCATGGTCTGAGAGTCTTTCAGGTGCCTTTTGGCAAACTCCAGGTGGGCTGCCATGTGCCTTTTACTAAGGAGTGGCTTCCATCTGGCCACTCTACCATACAGGCCTGATTGGTGGAGTGCTGCAGCGATGGTCGTCCTTCTGGAAGGTTCTCCTCTCTCCACAGAGGAACCCTGGAGCTCTGTCAGGGTGACCATCAGGAGCCTCCTGCCATGGTCCTGCTTGACTGCCATTGCCAATACTGTTGTTGCTGTGCACCTGTCTGTCTGTCTGTCGCTCTCTCTCTCTCTCTCTCTCTCTCTCTCTCTCTCACCCCAACTGGTCGAGACAGACGACCACCCACCTAGAGCCGGAGGATCTGTCCTAGGTTTCTGCCTTTTAACAGGCAGTTTTCCTTGCCCTTGTCGCCAAGTGCTTGCTCATGGTGGTACTGTTGGGTCTCTGTAATTAATGTTAAAGAGTTCGGTCTAGACCTGCTCTATTTGAAAAGTGTCCTGAGATAACTTCTGTTATGAATTGGCGCTATACAAATAAAATTGAATTGAATTGAATTGAATTGAATTATTGGTCACCTCCCTAACTAAAGCCCTTCTCCCCTGATCACTCAGTTTAGAGGGACGGCCAGCTCTAGGAAGTCCTGGTGGTTCCAAACTTCTTCCATTTACGGATGCACTTATAACTGTTGGACCTTATATAGACAGGTGTGTGCCTTTCCAAATCATGTCCAATCAACTGAATTTACCACAGGTGGACTCCAATTAAGCTGCAGAAACATCTCAAGGATGATCAGTGGAAACAGAATGCACCTGAGCTCAATTTTGAGCTTGATCACAAAGGCTGTGAATACTTATCTACAAGTGATTTCACCGTTTTTTATTTTTAATAAATTTGCAAAAATCTCAAACAAACTTTTTTTAAGTTGTCATTATGGGGTATTATGTGTAGAATTTTGAGGAAAAAAATTAATTGAATCCATTTTGGAATAAGGCTGTAACATAACAAAATGTGGAAAAAGTGAAGCGCTGTGAATACTTTCCGTATGCACTGTATATGTTACATATATGCATATATACTATATATATTGCTCCTCCTCTTCTAGAATGGCACCGGCGACAACGGCAGCCTGTTATGGCAGCTCCTATAATTGTTGTAGTTTTACTGTGTTTTCAGTGTGTTTTTAGCCTGTGTTTGTTGCGTATTTTTAACAGTTTTCTTACTTTCTTACTACTTTGTTCACGTCGCCTAAATACTTTTTCGGCGTTTTTGAGCACTTTTTATTTTTTGCTTACACTGGTCTCCATGGCGACGGGGAGTTGCATTGTTTACACCCGAGACCAGATGATCGCCCTGAGGCATCCTAGCATCCTGACTGGAGAGAGAGCCACCATACCGGAGGAGTTGAGGAGGAGACGCTGCAGAGCGGGGGTTAAACGGAGGATGATGAGGAGGAGGTTTAAACCCTACATCCCTGCAATCATCACTGGAAACGTAAGGTCGCTGGCAAATAAAGTGGACGAACTGGAAGCAATCACCAGGACACAGAGGGAGTACAGGGAGTGTAGTATCATGTGTTTCACGGAAACGTGCGACTGGCAAGAAGAAAGGAGAGGGACTGGCCGTGCTCGTAAACAACAGGTGCACGTCTGTGTGAAAGAGCATGTCTGCAGCCCGGACATCGAGCTTATCGCCATTGGACTACGTCCATATTATCTGCCACGGGAACTTTCCAGTGTTATCGCCATTACTGTTTATATTCCTCACAGTGGTCTTCATCATCATCATCATCATCACTGTTTATATTCCTCCGTCTGGGAAAGCAGAAGCAGCGTGTGACGTCATCCACACTGTGACTGCGGGACTACAAACGAAACACCCGGAGGCCTTCATCATAATCACAGGGGACTTCAACCATGTTTCTCTGTCATTCACACTCCCAACCTTCCACCAGTTTGTCACATGCAACACCAGAGACAATAAGACCTTGGACCTGCTGTACGCAAATGTTAAAGATGTGTACCGCTCCACTGCCTTGCCTCCACTGGGCAGGTCAGACCACAACTTAGTCTGGCTTTCACCATCATACAAGTCTGTGGTTCAGAAACAACCAGTCACAGTGAGGACAGTAAGGAAATGGTCTCCTGAGGCCATAGAAACACTGCGTGGAGCGCTGGAGGCCACCGACTGGGATGCTCTGTATGAGCCACACAGGGAGGACATTGATGGCCTTACTGACTGTGTCTCTGAGTACATTAGGTTCTGCACTGACTACTCCATCCCCTCCAAGGAGGTCCCATGCTACCCAAACAACAAACCGTGGGTAACCGGCAACCTGAAGACCCTTCTCAACGAGAAGAAGAGGGTCTTTAGATCAGGGGACTGAGCAGAACTCAAGCATGTACAAAGAGAGCTCAAACACAGCATCAGGGGGAGTAAGGATGTATACAGGAGAAAACTGGAGGACAAACTGGAGAACAACAACACCAGAGACGTATGGAGAGGGATGAGAGAGATCACCGGCTTTCAGGGGAGAGGTCGGGGTTCAGCTGAGGGGAACGAACAACGAGCCAACGAGTTGAACCAGTTCTTCAACAGGTTTAACCTCAGCTCCCGCACCCCTGGCAGCCCCTCTACTGCTCCTCTGAGCAACAAAACCAGGACACTCACACAGCCCCCACAGCCCCCTACCACCTCCTGCAGCAGACACCTCTCTGTATCAACCTTGTCATCCCCACCCCTCAATTTGACACCCACTACAGACCCTGCCGCATCTCCCACCACCTCCCAGACTGGACTTTACATCACAGTCAGCCAAGTGAGGAGAGAGCTGGAGAGGCTCAAACAGAGGAAAGCTGCTGGACCGGACCGCATCAGCCCTCGAGTACTGAAGGCATGTTCCAGCCAGCTCTGTGGAGTTTTCCAGCACCTCTTCAACCTCAGTCTGCATCTTCAGACAGTGCCAGTGCTCTGGAAAACATCCTGCCTGGTCCCAGTGCCCAAAAAAGGACGTCCTGTGACACTGGAGGAATACAGGCCGGGGACTCTGACCTCTCACATCATGAAAGTTATGGAGAGACTGGTCCTGGCACACCTCAGACCATTAGTGTGCGCATCGCAAGACCCCCTGCAGTTCGCATATCAACCTCATGTGGGGGTTGATGATGCAATCATCTACCTGTTGCAGAAGGCCTATTCCTCCCTGGACAGACCCAACACCTCAGTCCGCATCATGTTCTTCGACTTCTCCAGCGCCTTCAACACCATCCAGCCCAGACTGCTGAAGGCCAAACTGGAGAACACGCAGGTGGGTGCTCCCCTCATCACTTGGGTCGATGACTATCTGACGGGCAGACCGCAGTTTGTGAGATTAAAGAACTGTGTGTCTGACCGTCTGATTAGTAACATAGGGCCCCCCCCAGGGAACTGTACTGTCTCCCATCCTCTTCACCACATACAGTGCAGACTTTAAGTACTGCACTGCGTCGTGTCATCTGCAAAAATACTCTGATGATACGGCTATTGTAGGGTGTCTGGAGGGCAGAGGGGAGGCTGAGTACAGGGACCTGGTTGATCGCTTTGTGAAGTGGTGTGGGTAGAACCACCTGCAAAAAAAAAAAAAAAATGCAAAAAAAAACACCTGCAAAAAAAAAAAAACCAAAGGAGAGGTGGTGGATTTTAGGAGGAACAAGCCCCTGCCCTCTCCTGTCAGCATCAGTGGGACAGATGTGGATATGGTGTCGGCATATAAGTACTTGGGTGTCACACTAGACAATAAACTGGACTGGTCCACAAACAAACTCAGAGGCCATCTACAAGAAGGGCATGAGCCGGCTTTACTTCTTGAGGAGGCTCAGGTCTTTCAATGTCTGCAACAGGATGTTGCAGATGTTCTATCAGTCTGTTGTGGCGAGTGTCCTGGGGTGCGGGCATCAAGGCAAAGGACGCCAACAGACTGAACAAACTCATTAAAAAGGCAGAGTCTGTTGTTAGCTTGAAGCTTGTCACCCTGGAGGAAGTGGTGGAGGAGAGGATGCTGGCAAAACTGCTGGCAATCATGAACAATCATGAGTTACTCAGCCAACTCAGTCGGGAGCAGGGCTCAGCTGTCAATCATTATTTAAAACCCCCTTTTTATAGCTGCAAATAACTAACTCAAACAGAACTGATTAGAAAAATGAACACTTGAGCGTGATTAAAACAAGACAATAAGAACAACCTAAAATGACAGGAAAAGTATTTGGGAAAAATGTATTTTTAGTGTACTTAGATTTTTTAGTTTGGCCCATCTGTTAACATGGTGGCAGCAGGCATTATGACCTATACTGCAGTCAGCCACCAGGGGGAGATAGAGATGTTTTGGCTTTACTTTTATAGAGTTGTTATGTCATCCATCTTTATATATGTCAATGGTAGCTATGATTGCTTGGGTAACATCAGCTGACCAACAGCTAGCTAGCCAGCCAGCAAGCTAGCTCAATGTTTGTAACATCTATGTGTTAAAGAGCTAGCAAATACATTGCTGGCTGGCCACAAGGCACCCCTAGCCCCTGTTAAAAGCAAACAGAGGCAACCGTGGGGGTTGTGGAGAGATTATTTTTCATCTTCCATCTACTAGTATGAATATTTACTAATTTTCTACCTCGACCATTTCTCTTCTTCGCTCTGCTACACTGAGATTGGCTGAGTCAGCGAACTCTGCTGACCACATCATGTAGCTTGTAGCACACACTGACCCCATTGAATACACCGGTGAATGACACATCCATGGTTCAATCATAATTGGTCTCAGTTGTACATCAACATGACCTGATTTATCCTCCAGTCAGCATCGAGCAACTTTGTACCATGTCATTTTAGTGTCTCTCTCTTCCACTCTCCACCTCCTCTGTTTACCCTTGTTTTAGGTCTCTCTCTCTCTCTCTCTCTTCTCTCTGTCTCTCTCTCATATATGCATCACCTCTGGGCATACAGCCAAGGAACAATAGAAAACACACACACACACACACACACACACACACACACACACAAACCACACACACAGACCCTCTAGCTCTTTCTATTTCCTGTGTTAGCAGCATGTTGAGCAGAGGCAGCAGAGTACTGCTGGGAAACCAACCACGCTCTCAGCAGCAGGAGCCAGTGCACTCCACATTCCTGCTGGTATTCACCATACTTCAGTGTTCCCTTTCAAAGGTTGAGTTTTGCATTTATGATGACCTGGATGAACACAAATACTGATTTACACAAGCCTGAACAAGATGTCTTTCTACTATTACCAGTAGACTGGTACTGAATCAAGTACATTGATGCACATGAACTAACTGGTATGCTTCATTCAGTCTAGTTATAGACCTTTTCATAACAGATATTTTGTCTTGCACATGTGTTGCTAATATCAATGAAGGTCTGTTCCATTAAAGGACCAGTGTGTAAGATTTAGAGGGATCTAGTGGTGAAGTTGCAGATTGCAACCAGCTGAAAACTCCTAGCCCTATCTAGAGTCAGTGTTTGGTTTGTCCGTTCTGGGCTACTGTAGAAACATGGTGGTGACAAAGTAACAAAAGCTATAGTTCCTCTAATGGCCACTAGAGGCTGGCTCCAGCAGTGAGTCAATCTCCATAAGGCCCCATATTAAAATGCCCAACTTGACAGCAGAAATAAACATGTTTACAGCTTGGTGCAAAAAACGTTCAGGACAGTGATTTTTTTATATAACTCACCTGTTATATTAAGGCTTAAAGTCACGCATAATTAAGACTGTGGTCGCTTTGAGTGACAGGTGGCTCAGGAGTCTGGTTTCAGTAACCAGGCTTCATTCAGCCCGCCTCTGCTCCATGTCTTTGTCTAGTTTTGGATTAGTCGGGAGCCAACAGAGTCAGGACTGCCAAGATGGCGACAGGCAGAGCCGACCACACTGAGTTTCATAATGGCTATACCTATAGGGGACGTCACAGAGACTACGTCTATTTCTTTTAATACAGTCTTGTGCGTTCAACATGGCGGACTCCATGGAAGATGACCCACTCCCTCTGTAGATAAATATTCTAAGGTAACAAAAACAAAACAATTCTTATATTCAGGTGATTATAAAAAAAACATACCTTTGAATATTATATTCCATTTTGACAAATGTCTGTTACACACAGGAGTGTGGTAGTGAGTCATTCCAATGAGTAAGCTTACACAATACCAGGATCCTGGAACTGGCTAATCTAAATGGAATGCACTGTTGATGTTATTGGTAACACCTGTTGTTTGGGGTTAACACTTTATTTGGATAGTCCACCTACAGATAGTTTATAGAGTCACATGTAACAGTTAAACTGTATCGCTTTGGTTTTTTTTGCCATTAACATAACCTAACCAAGATGTTTTTGTGCATAAAACCTAACCAAAGCTTAGCCATTAATAGCTGTTAAATCTCAACTAACAAGCTGCTGAAATGTCACAAATAGAAACTCTCAGTAGTTGGATTATCCAAATAAAGTGATTTTTTCTGCTTTGACAAGTCAAAGTGCCTGCTTTGAAAAAGCTTAATTCTCAGAATAAATATTTATCACAGATAAAAAAAAAAGTATTATGGTATATGTCAGCTGATAAGCAGAATCAAAGATGTGTTTGAAGTCATTTAGAAACAGTGTCTCCATTCCATTGTTTGTCCACTGGTGTCTTGATCACAATTCTTGCTCATTGTTTGGTTTATGTGATATATTTACATTTTTGTACATACCCCAACTATGTCGAGTGACATTTTAATGAGAAGTGCGCAGGAACATATATAGTACCACTCATGTGAGCTAGGTGACAGCATGTAGAGGGTCCCAACAACAGTTCACGCCAGGGGAAACTGAGATGAATGGTATAGCTAATTTTCACTGGGATCACTTCATTTTTCTGCATCAAAAAACTTTAAAAACTTTTGAGAGATGCTGAAGTCCCATAAAATGTCTACACATGGTGGCTTTAATTTAATTGGAAGACTTAAATTATTACAGGGTTTCTACTCTTTTTAAGAAAGCATTTTCAAGGACCTTTCCAGGACATTTTCTAGGACATCTTCCAGGAGGTTCACGATGAAGCGTCTCAGGTTCAATGCAGGTAGGTGGTCAGTGTTTATGAGACACTTCGCATTAATTTGCCATTTTTTCCACTTCCACTGTAACATGACTTTGGCCACAGCCCATAAGTAACAAATTAACTAGAATTTTATTTTACAGAGAAATCTTCTCACCTAATTAGCCTATTAAAAGACAGTCTTTGTTGCACATACAGCTAACAATGCAGTGCATGTATTAATTAACCCTAAAAACAAGATTTTCCCACTGGGCTTTTGTGAGAATTCTCCCAGCTCCGGGGAAAAGAAAAGACTCAACGCCCAAAAGTTTGCTGCACAATCGTTCCACAGCTGGTAAACCTACTGTGAAGTATCATACCGTGCAGTTGTCCTACCAACAGACAAACAAAATAAGTAGGCCATCTGAGGCGTAGATCTGAATGAGGGGTTCAAATTAAATTTATATTTTCCCAGACAACATAGATTATTTCCAGGTGTTTCAATGATTGGAAAACTATAGGTTATATACGCTCCTGAACAAAATCTTAAGACCAGGGGAAAAATTCAGCGCTGGTAGAACATAACCAGGTTGTAAGTAGAGCTTCATAATGCCAAAAGAAAAAACAGGAGCAAGAGACAAAAAATAGAGCAGGCAATTTATTGAAAACTGCATTTACACTCAAGCTGTTCATCAACTGATCAAAAGTTTGAGTTAAGTTTTTATATTATCAATGCAAGTGAATAAATAAGTAATTTTTGGGAATTCTTAAATTGAGCGGACTAGTTGTTTTAATTCATGCACATATTATCAAATGTTGAACCCTTAATAGGTAAATTAGTTCTAAAATTGAAAAGGCTTCCATTGTGTAGGCACTGAATCACGCATACACAGATACAGTCATTAAGTCATGACACTATGTTGTCTCATCATAAGCACAAAAAGCCACTGCTTTTAAATGATCAGTCTAATGTATGCTCTTTTTTACATAATTGTCATGGATCTCTAACAGAAATGCACAAAAGGCTCCTTTAGAGCCCCTTCATTCATGGGAAGTCAGTGGTCAAATAGTGTGCTGGGTGACCTTTGTGAGTATGATGTAACCGTTTCAGTTAATGGAAATGATTAAATTAAAAAAGACATAACTGCATGAGCACTATATGCTTTCGCTGAGGTATTGTCATGGTTACAAAAGTAAAAAACTTTTAATTAATTAATTAATTAATCATTTGGTCTAGGTTTGTGTGTCTTAAATACACACAAACAGAGTATCTCCAGCTTTGTATTATTAAAAAGGTTTTACCAGTTTGGAGCTGTCCGATTGGATGGCAGAACAGTCTTGATTGGCTACTTCTAGGCTCCGATCTATTGGCTGTTGGAATCGGAGGCCTCCCCCTTCTCCTCCAGATGCTGCAGGTTGTCAGTGGGCGTCACAGCTGTCGATAAAAGAAACACAAATGACAAACATTAAGAATTAATCATCCAAAGCAACCATTAGTCAAATTGAATATCTGGGAATTCTAAAACAGAGGCAGCAGAACTTCCTGTGTGTTTGTGCATTATTGGCCCTGCCTTGATTCAAGACATGACAGTGTCTCTAAAGGTGAAGTCAACTAAAAAGAAGACAGGAGAAGTAAACAGTGGGCATAGGAGATTGAAAGCCATCAAAAGACATGGCGGCAAGACAATTCAGGGAGACATAACGACACATCAGAGAAACCAGCAGCAAAAAAGCCACAGAGTTAGAGAAAGTAATTTCATTGGTAATCACAGATATTGGTTTGTATCAAGCATCCTAGATCTGTCCTCAATCTCCCAAAACTTGACATCCAGACCAAAGATCAAGCATCCATAACCATCTCATCCATGCTTGAAGCAATAATATTACACAGCTGTCCCTTGATCTAACATGTGTATTACATGAAGATGTGATAGATAATCAAATTTGTGATGGGCTTGGATTGTTTTCTGGAATGGGCTAAGAATATTTATGTGGATGGACTGACAAATCCCAGGAAAGGTTTTAGGTCAGCTTTTTATACAATAAAAATGTAATACGATGCCTGCTCCTATCTTAAATCCCAGCAAAGAGAAGCCCTGGTGACACCAGAAAGTGACGCTGCAAGATTCTCTTTTGGATTCTTGTGAATGAAGTAGTGCTAAACCTTCATGACTGCTTGTAGAGCTAGATTGCAATCGCTAAAATAAGTTAACTTGTCCTTCTGACGTCCCGCCCCTTTCTGCTCTGTGCTCCAATAACAGTTGGGCAAGCCTTGGTCAGAATATGATATGTGCTAGGCTCGTCTATGTTGAACAGAAACATTTTGAGTATGTTAAAAGGTAAAAGCAGCATAATAAAAAGTCCTATCTTAACTAAGCTAGCTAGTGTTAGCTAATGTTAGCAAAACACAAGCAAACTAACTTGTAACTGTAAATTCGCTAGCTAGTTATCTAGAGTTTTTCTGACATTAGCTATTAGATTTAACTAGCTACCTAACGACTGATGTTGTGACTACATGTTTTGCTAACACTAGCTGACTTGAATGTGATTATTTATAGGATCTCATTATCTTTTAACAATCTTCACCATTTGGTTGTCATTCCAACATAGATGAGCCTAACACATAGCATATTCTGACCGAGGTTTGGTCAACTGTTGGAGGACAGAGTAAAAAAGGGGCGGGACTTAAGAAGGATCTACTCGGGCTGTCATCAAAATGCTTTTGATTCGAATTATTAGTCGAGATGCCACAAAAATCCCAGATGTGTGAAAGTGCCCAATACAGTCAGTTTTAAACTCTCATCTCGTCCTTCACTTCGTTTAACCCATCACTGAATCCTCTTATTGCCTTAGCTATCCTTTATAGTTACTGTTTTACTGTGTTTTCCTTTACAGTTGTAGTCACCGTGGAAGCTTTTCATGGTTCTAATCTTCAAATCCACTTCTTTTACTTGCTGACATCACCACTTGGCCAGCATGGATTGGTTTTCCCATAATGACTCACTGTAGTGCCTGTGTATGCAAGAGCTCAGTGGTCCAGATGGTCACTCAGTGGGAGCTGGAGTCCGACCAAATGACCTGCTAGCTGTACTACAGCTACACAGCAGAAACACACCAACAGCAGTGGATCTGCGACTGTACATTCCCAAGCGGGGGAATTAATGGCAGCGACACATATGCTTCACACTCTTTAGTCTTGAGTTTAGTTCCCTAGTCTTGTAAGGGAACTGAGGACGAATCAAAGGCAGTCAGGGAGTCTGATTCTAAGATGTTTCCTCAGCTTTAAGTTAAAGCTGCAGTAGGAAACTTTTCTAAAAATAACTTTTTGTCATATTTGCTGAAACTTCCACTATATCCTGACAGTAGTACATGAGGTAGATCTTTTATGAATAAATCTGGTTCCTCCTAGTACAGAGAAAGATAGTTGATTGTTGAGTCTCAGTCCCAGGTCAACTGTTATTGGAGCACAAAGCAAAAAGGGGCGGGACTTAAGTTGTTTTTCTGCAGTGATGAGAGCATTAATAGAAATGTGCAGGGCTTAGGACTGGTCAGCTGATTCATGGTCATTGTGTTGGTTTTCCTTTTCTGTATTTCTATGAATAAACACAAATAACTTTTCAGAATAACCAAAGCCCTAGCATGAGGCTAGTATTACCTGGGGTCTTCTTGTGATTTGCAATAATTGCAGAAGTCGTCTGTGTTCCAATCCCTTGAGTCCATGAATGTCCATATTCTGAAAGTAAAGTAAAAACTCAGTTCATTTGCATTATGATTCTAATTAGATTCTTAAATTCTTAATCTGGAAGCGAGTTACAGTTCATGGAAATGCCTATGGCAGGGGTAGGCAACCTGCTGCTCTTTAGCCCCTATCCAATGATTCCTGTGGCTTTGACAAAATTATATGGAAACAATAATTTTTTAACATTTTTCTTTATCATTGTTGTTTAAAGTCATTCTGACATTCTCCAATGGCAAACGTGTAGCCATTACACACCAAATTGAAAACATCTGTCAACTCAAATGTGCATCATTTCCTGACCTGGCGCCTTTCCTCTACGTCTTGCTGACCCTAATAACAGTTGGGACTGGTCTTAAGTCTCCCTAGCTAGACTAGCTATGGACTCCAAATCTAAACAAAGAAATTTTTCTGAGGTTAACAGAGAATTTAATAGTGTGTGGAAAGAAGTTTGCTTTCATCACCAACACTGCTCGCTGAGCAGAATGTTTTATCTGCTGCAAGAAATGTTTTGTGGCTCCAGACAGATTCCAGCAGATGTTTAATGACTTTAGACAAAAATGGATCTTTTGATAGTAAAGTTTGCTGACCCCTGGCATATGGAATTCTCACTGACTGTACAATGGTAGACGTAATCTTACAGTACAATGCACTTCATGAGCCTGATTTTCAGGTACTACTGTCAGTATATAGTTAAAGTTTCAATGAATATGACAAAAAGTTATTTTTATAAAAAATTACCTACTAATTTCTAAAGCTGTATTTTGTGTAACGACTGATACAGAGTTATGATCCGATGTAAGTGTGTCAAAAACAGCTGTGTAGTCCTAACACTGAATGATTGCTATCGTTGCTCAGTCTAGCTCAGGTTAAACCCTGTTAGTTGCAGTAAGTCAAAAATGCTGACATTTGGGGAGAAAAAAAATAAATAATTAAATACAAAATATGAATTTTCCTTTTTTTATTTTCACTTGGACTATTATCATTAGCATATCTGAACAAAAGTTGGCAAAGCTAGAGCAGATAATCAGTACGCTTAAAAACTTAGCTTAAGAAGTCCACTAAGTACAACTATTAGATCTGGGAGAAGTCATTTAATTAGTTTTGATGCTCTTTTCATTGATTGTATTCATTGGGCTCGGGTTCTGCAGCCTCATAATCGTCGAAAGAACTCTGTTGAAATAACCTTTTATTATTAGTAAGGATTATTCAGACTGTTTTCTGTCTTAACCGACTTAATTTGCTGCTTTTGACATTTATCTGTTGACATCAATATCAAACAATGAAATGCCGTAACACAGAAAATGACTTGAAGTTACACAAAGGTGAACAGTGGCTTCTTAACCAAATTACAAACATTTTCTCAAACTCAGTCACGGGTCTGTGAGCATTTTATTTTTCTAGGCCTTTGGCAGGAGAGCTTCAGAGCTTTTTGAGAGAGGGATTAGGTGCTAGGGGACCATTTGATGCACTGTCACTGCTTAAAGACCCTGACATCTCCACAGGTGAATTCATTAATGTTATGAGGTTCAGCTGTGTTTCGTCCAACTGTCAGAATGTGAGAAAGGCTAGTTTGGAAGCTAATCGAGGAGTAATGAGAGTTATGTGGGTGTGTTTGTTTGTGCTTAAGGACGTAACCACTGTGAAAAAAAAGAGAAAATGCCTGCGGGCCCCAACACTGTGTCCTGAACACACTACCATAACACTGAAATACTAAAATTCTTACATATAGCTCCTTTACAACCATAATACTTATCAGCTTGTAAGACAGTACTGTCATGAAAACACAAGAAAAAAGCAGATGTCAGAGCTGTCTGTCTGTCCGTGTGCATGCATGCATGTGTGTGTGTGTGTGTGTGTGTGTGTGTGTGTGTGTGTGTGTGTGTGTGTGTGTGAGACGGGGGATTTTCCAGCTCAGTGATAATGGAAGTCTAGCTCCTCCAGCCTGACTCAGCAGTATTAAACACACGTTACATCACTAGTGTGTAGCCGGTCATATAGAACACGGTGTTCTGGACTAGCTTGTGGCTGCTGTTATTCAATTTCCTTTACTGTTAGGCTTTCTTTTACTCAGAGCTTTCTGAGCTCTCCTCCCTGTTTTGTTTCTTTCTAGGGATGCACCGATCCACATTTTTTCACTTCCGATGGAATATCGGCCGATACCGATACTATTCCGATACCAGAGCTGTGTTTGCTTTAATATTATTATTATCATTATTGTTGATTCTATATGAGGCTGAAATAAACTCCTCTCAACAGGCAAGTATGATATGTATGTATGTATGCATGTATGTGTCCCAAAAGGCAACTTGAGGTAAGTATAAGGTCAGAAAAGGAAGTCAGAAAAACAGGAAATCCTGTTAACAGGAAAAATCCCATCCTGAAAACAAATATACAACTGTAAGGGTTTCAAATTGATTGTCATGTCAATATTTATTAAATTCCCAAAATGTCAAATAATTGAAATATAAGAAAAGTGCAATAAGTGTAAACAACTAAACACACACACACACACACACACACACACACACACACACACACACACACACACACACACACACACACACACACACACACACACACACACACACACACACACACCCACACCTTGTTTTTGGAATGACTCCAGAAGTGATTCCTGACAGCTCCTTTTGTCTTTCTGCCCCTGCTCTTCTTCTTCTTCATATGGATTTCCGGCAGTTTAGACGCTTCTAGGCGTATTACTGCCCTCCTCACGAAGTCACTCTAAGGATAATGTTACTGCTTCACATTTTCATATATAGCCCTGTATCGTGTAAGAACTGTAATAATACATTAACAATCAAGTGGTGGTTCTCATTTTGACCCAATAATCCTCGTGCTCTTTCGTGTGGTGCTTTTTTAAATGTTTGATTGCATTCGTAGTGTTGTACGACGCCATGGAGCCTCCGCCTCTCTGAATCACGGCTTTGCTAGCTGGCTGCAAACTGCGGATTGGATTTCCTGAGCGGGGGCGTGTCTCATAACTCTGTGTCTCATTGAGCTGCGCCGCCGTTCAGGAAATCTATTCCACAGTTTGCAGCCAGCTAGCAGACTGGCCGGCAGGAATCACCTGTGGAGTCATTTCAGCAGACAACGTTAAAGCGCAGACATGGCTCATGGATATCGGATATCTCCGCAGGTTGGATCGGGAACATCCGATGCGTGAATTACACTGGTATCAGTCCCGATACCGATACTGGAACGGATCGGCCCCATCCCTATTTCTTTCACATCCCTATTTCTTTTATTAAATGACATTGTTAAAGATACACTCAATGACTTTGTTTTGTTAGGGTTAAGGTGGGATTAGGGTCTACTAATCATGCCAAGGGAGACAGGATTTGTAGAAATCTTGAGAAGGAGAGACTCGCCACAGGGAAACTATATATTAAGATCTGCGTTGTTCATACCTGGACCAGGAAAGCTGAGTTACAGACATACAGTGTGAGGAAATTCATGATTGTGTTTACCAAATGGCAGCGTTCAGTGTAAGACACTTCCACCACTGTGGGAATGGATTCTTGACTGAAATGAGTGACCACAGGGTTTTCTGTCTAGCACTGTTGAATATTTGACCATATCTGGAACACTTCTCTTAACTGCCATGTAGGCCAGAGCTTTTAACTGGATAAAGGAGAAGAAGTGGTGAAAGAAATCTTGGGAAGGTTGAATATCAGGCAGGCAACAACAACAACTTTTCCTCAAGCTGGACCTATAATTGTAGTTTCCTGTGAGTTCCATCAATCATAGCATTCACACATGCAAAGTGTTGGGCCATACGTCATCAAACTACTACAGGTTTCAATAAAATTAAATCACTGCAATCACAGTTTTTTTTGAAAAACTTCTGTGAAATCATGCATTTTAGGCTGCAACAATCCCAAAAAAAGTGACCAAAATCCTGGAGGGACTGGAGAAGGAAGTGAGAAACTCTCTCCTTAGCTACTTCCATCAGCTCCGGAAAAAACAACGTTTCCTTCTCTTTTACCTGCCTGATCGGGCAAGTGAGTTTCTACATTTACTAGCCCGACATGGCATTTTACTTGCCCCAGGCTATCCTTATTGTTGAGCTCTGAATGCAGTAATGGTAAATTGACTGTACCCACATAGCGTTCCAACCACTCAAAGCACTGTACACTACATGACACATTCAGCCATTCATTCATACATTCACACAGCGATGCACAACATCAGGAGCAATTTGGGATTTAGTATCTTGCTCAAGGACACTTTGACATGGAGCAAGGGATCAAACCACCAACCACATTGCTTGCACAAATTACATTTGTTATATAATCATGAACACCTCTTGTATACAAACACAGAGCTGGTGAATTCTTTATGTTTTTATGCTCTACAGCAGGGGTGTCAAACTGATCCGTGAAAGGGCCGGTGGGGCTGCAGGTTTTCATTCCAACCATGCAGCAGCACACCTGACTTGGTTCATTCAATCAACTGAACTGTCTTCATACAGTCAAAAACTTGCAGCCACACCCACGCTTTAATCAAGGGTGGCTGTTTTTGTTCCAATCAAGCAAGAGGACACCAGAAATGACTGTGTGAAGACAGTTCAGTTGATTGAATGAACCAAGTCAGGTGTGCTGCTGCATGTTTGGAATGAAAACCTGCAGCCACACCGGCCCTTTCATGGATCAGTTTGACACCCCTGCTCTACAGAGACAACAGAGCAAAGTTATTGTTGCCTTTTCTCTCTCTGTCCTTTATCTCTCCATCCTCCTCCTGTCTATCTTTCTTACCCCATCCCATAAACTCACCTGTTTCTCTTTTAATCTGTCCCTCCTCCCCTTGTCCTCCCACACATTCTCAGCAGGTGCTGAGGTAGACAGGCTGCTGCAGAGCAGGAGCCCACAGCAAAGGCCCCACCAACAGGGTTCAACCCATATGACAGACACCAATAATGATATTTCTGCCAAATTCTTCTAATCGAGCCTAACGTGCAGTGACGGCATCCTGAG